GTATGAGAGTTAAATTAAATTTTAATAAAGACAGAGACATGGTCTCACCATTAATATTCAAAAAAAAAAAAAAAATTATTCAGTTAGTTTTTCATAAAGTGTTCCAGGAATAATGATACCAGCTTTATAAATTATCTACAAGAATCATAACTCAAATTCACTAGTAATAAAAATTTATTATTGTATTTGCAAACAAATTTATTGACTATTTGACTATTTTGGATAAAGATATATGTATATTCGATATGATTTTGACCTGAATTAAACGGGTTACCTGATAGACCTGGGCAATCACCCAGGTGCCCGTGGGTCCACCCGTCAGGTGACCAAATCACATTTTTTTAAACGGTTCCAATCACTAACTAATACATAGAAAAATTTAATTTCTCACATGTAAAATTGCAGTTTCAGATGAGTATTAACTTTAAGTACAACAAAATCACAATTATTGCAATTGATTGATTAACTGAACAAAGCTAAAACCTTTATTTGTAAAATACAAAAAACAAGCTAACTGAATTGACAATTTTATATCGATAAGTAAAAAAAGTTAACTAAGATAACAATATCGTAATAATAAGAAAACCCCCAAAAAAATAATATTTTATAGTAAAAAAACAAAAACAGAGGAATGAAAATTATTTATATTCTGGATATGTGCAACCCAATCCAAATATTAAAATATCTAGATACAGTATATTTATTCATCATGATTGTCATCACTCACAATATGTACTTCGAATTTAGTAAGTTTAGTACTATGTGGTTTTCTTGCTTACATATACTACAACCTCTATTTTTACTTCCTGTTCAATGATTATGAACCCCCTTGCAGAACTAGAATTATTACTTTTTTCATATTCATTATCTTCTGTTAATACTCTATTAGCTTTTTCCTCTTTATCAGACTTATTAGATTCTTTATCATAATCATCGCTATATTTTGACTTACTTGCAATTCATCCCTAGTATAACTGAATTTTGCCAGCTTGAAATCATCAATTCCCAACAAATCTCTAGCAAGTTCATTTACCTTTTTGTTTTAAGCCATTTTAATGACCTAAGATTAGATGTTGATATATCTGATTGATTTAAATTGATTTCATCAGAATCAACTAGTTTTGTTAAATTAGAATCTTCAGAAACTTTTTCAGATTCTCTAATAATATTATGATGCATAGCCAAAAGCTTAGAATGAATTAACTTAGGTGAAGCTACTGACTCAGATAGTTGCTTTTTAGCTGATAAATGTGTATCAACATAATTGATATCTTTTGCATAAATATACAATTTGTCTTAAATAATTTTTATTTCATCAATAACAAATAACATAAATTCTTTTAGCTGAATAGAATTTTTAAAATGTTTAAATCATGAATTAAAGTGTAGATAAGTAATATTAACTACAAAATTATGCTCCTGGGTAGTATAATCATTAACTAAAGTTTTAATGACAGTATTTCATCATTATTAACTTCCTGAGGTTCACTCTGAGCAACACCAATGAGAGACACTTTTAACGGGCAATTATTTATATAAGTTTTTATTAATATTAATGTATATTAAAGTTGCAACTGTTATCTAAATAAATAAACATTAGTATATAATTATTGTATATTTCTACTATAAAAAATTTATAAAAATACCTTTATCTTTTAACATCATGGTAATATTCTGATACAACCTTTCCACTAATAATATAATATTTATTTTCTTTGAAGATTGTCTGACTATCAAAATCTCTTTCTTCCGAATTGATAAGCACAAATATAACTAATTCAATATCATTATCTTCCTGTTTAACAGGATAAATGCCGATAGTCTATACGATAATAAAATTGATATTGTCTTTCATAGATTGCCAAACTTGGCTAATTTCACAATTGTATTTCTATAACACAGCATGTTTTTGTAACAATAAGACTTGTAAAAACAAATATCAACGTTTAAAGCAAACTTCTTAAAAAACTCATCTATTTATTTCTTTTTTCTTTAATATGTATTATTAAAAAAGTTACCTGTTTAAAAGCAATAACAGTAAAATCAATCCAAATTAATAATATGTATTGATATTCTAGTTATTATTAAAAATTGTATTTAAAATAACAATTTTTCATAGCATGTAAACTGAAAACATGTTTGCCTTACCACTCTTACTAATTTTAAAAGGCTAAATATTATTTAATCATATATATGTGGATATATCTACTCAATTTTATATAAATTTAAGTTGTTAACATGAAAACACCTTTTTTTCATAAACTTCTAAATTCATTAATCAAAAAAATGATCTACATATTATAGAAAAATAAACTAACTCTAATATAACTAAATAATGCAATGTACTACACAATACTATTAAAATACTATCTAACAAGACCAAAAATCCTAAACTGGTAGCCTTCGATCGAAGCATAGTAAAACTTGTTCTGAGCATGAAAACTTTTGGTCTTACTAAATTACCTTTAAACTTCGATAAGTATCATTATAAATCTCTTATATTTAATATACTACTAATAACTCTTATCTATTCTTTCTTTTAGATACTGTGGTGGTGCTCAAAAATCTCTTTCTAATCGTGAACTAAGTTAATGATATACATATTATGTGGTCACGAGATCACGATGTAAATCAGTTATATAAGTATATATATTTTTATAAATAATAGATCAATTGATCACAAACTTAATCATTTAATTATTTTATATAAAAGTAGTCTCAGTAACTAATACAATCTTTCTCTTTCTTTCAAATATAACTTAACAATATCAAATTACAATAGATCATGAAAAAGTGAAAGATTTTACAAATAAAATCTTTTACACAAGAGCTGTTACTACTTAAGTACTTCTATTATATAAGTATGTATATTTTTATAAATAATAGATCGATCAATCACAAACTTAATCATTTAATTATTTTATATAAAAGGAGTCTCAGTAACTAATACAATCCTTCTCTTTCTTTCAATTATGACTCAACAATATTAAATTACGATGGATTACAAGAACAGTGAAAGATTTTACAAATAAAATCTTTTACATAAGAGCTGTTACTACTTAAAACTTCTATTATTTATTTTTCAAAATCAAAGCTTCAAAGTTAACTTATTATTTAAAGTATTTTTTACTGCTTATGTACATCATTTTTACAGACTAAAAATAATACTATTTTTCTTACTAACTCTATTTTATTTATTTATTCTATTAACTAAATAATGATTTTTGATACTATTTGTTTGATAAACTATTTTATTGATCTCTTTCAAAAAATAAAAATTGAAAATAACAAAATCAATTAAATTGAACTTTTGTATAATATTGTTAGTCAAAAATATTTTTGCTAATATCAAAATTTGCCTAAATTAAATTGTCTAAATGTCTAAATGTCTAAATGAATTTTTTAATAGTAATTTTTAAAAAAATAACTGTGTCAAAATTGCCTAAATTCAATTTGTCTAAATGTCTAAATGTTTAAATTATTTCAACTAACAACACTACTCTTGTATTATATCAGAAATGAATTTTGACCATGCAGTATACATACTGAATTATTTATCAAATATATAATATATACATAAATATATATGCTATACATTATTAAATATAACACCAGCATTATTATAAAGTTTTTATACCAATTTTCAAAAACAAATTACCATGTTATTAATTGTTGGTATTGTGCATATGATTCTGCTTCAACTTGCAAAAGAATTTGCTTACTCTTTGAGATAAGTAAATATAATCAAAAATAGTTAAAAATGGTCAGTTTATATTATAGTTTACGCCTCCCATAGTTATTACTATACTTTTCCATTATTATTAAAGTTTATTATTTCATTTTTACACAATAGTTCTATTCTTTTTTTATAGCATAATATTTATATCAAAGAAATTGATTACCTAAAAATAAATTTTCTTCCTAATAAATAAATTGAGAATGCAATAAGAACAAATATATATTTTTCAAAAATACACAATATGCTATGAATATAGTAACTATTATATAAATAAATTATATTCCATGAATTAAACCCAAATAATCTTATGTAATTCAAAAAAAAAGATTAAGTTTATTTATGAAATCACAAGTATTAATAACAATCTGATCACTATAAGTCATCTACGAATATTTAAAACTTTCTTTACATATTATTAATGTACAACTCTTATCCAATAAGTGAAAACTTACTTTCTTAAATGTAGAATTACTTAATATTCAGGCCTCATAACTAAAGCAGTGATAATATTAAAAATTATTCTGACTATTACAGTAACAACAATACACATTAATTATAACAATGTTAATCTATATCATTTACTATTACAATATAAATAACTTTAATGCAGAATATGATGATTTGATTAACAACTATCCTGTTTAATTCTCTGAACCTGAAAATACTTTTCAAAATACAACATTTGGAGACCAAGTTCAGAACTAATAACACTTAAAAATCATTTGCATAATATAACATTTTATAACTTTTCTGGAATTGCATGTGCCTATTGTTCTATTTTATTGTTTACTTCAGAAACTTCCTGAGAACTATTTGATAAAAATTTTGAATACCCATTAACCTGTAAATTTTCAAATGAAAAATTAGATTTTCATCCTAATTCAAACATACAAAAAATAGCTATCTACAATTCATATAAACGCAAACAGAACAAACCTTCATCTCCGAATCTATTAGCAATTTCTAATGACATTATAACTGTTCCAATATTTAATTATCAATTTTTATCACCTATACATCTATGATGCTTGTTGGGAAGACATGCTAGAAGCAATTCTTATATAAATTACAGACATCTTACAAGTTCTTTTGGTTATTTGTGAAATATCTATGCATTAGCTTTATATTTCAGAGAACTCAGTGCATTTTTTACAATTCAAATTCCTCAATGAACTGGTATCATCCAACATTGTATAATGCTATTAATTGGCTAAAAAGAAATAATTTGTACTTACAACACTTTGAGCCAAGCTAGTCAATTATAAATAATACCATAAATATAGTCTTTCCACTAGCACAAAATCAATATACTGATCCTATTCATACTGAAAATTCTCAAAACTTTCGAGACATTGTAGCTTCAAACTATGATTAAAATACTGAAATATATGATGAAGATTTTAATTATCAATGACTTATGGCAGGCTTTATACTATCACTAAATTCAAATATGTGTATTTCAATCTCAATTGGAAGTAACTATCTTGAACCACTATTATTTGCAGATCTATTTTCTCATGAAACAAACTTCTTTAGTAAAAAAAATTCTGATATATTATATGGCAAATACATCAAATGTAACCTATTATATCCAGATTCAAGATTCTGCTTACATTGGTTCTGGTCAGATTGGTTATATATACACTTAGAAAAACTATGAATTCACCAAAATACACAAAGACTTACATATAAACAAAACATCAACAATATATTTAGACTACCAACTGCAGAGATTACTGAATCATAGTGCATATAATTTACAATTCATAATAAACAAATCAATAACTACTACCCTTTCAAGTTTTTTACATACCAGTTATACCTATTTTTACTGAAAAAGAATTGACTTGAATACTATGTCAACTAATTTAGGCCTTTCTCGACTATTTTACATAATGACAATGATCAAAAGCAATTAATATCACTTACATGTAATTTTGTCAAAAACTGATAATAAAGATACATTTCTGTCAAATCACCCTCTACATTCTGTATTACATTATAGTCACTATCTAAACTCTGTATGAAACAGTCTCTGGAAAAAAAAGCAAATTTATATAAATGGTCAAAATAAATATACTATTTTGAGTGTGATGAGTTTCAAAACTGTAAAGCAATTTACACATATAGGATTATATGGTAGAATCTGAAATTTCTGAAATGATAAGTAAAAATATAATTCGTACTGACGTATCTAATCTAAATTATAAACTGAAACTATATAATTTAGTTCTTAAATACCAAGTACACTCTTGTTCTATACATTTATGTGGAGGACCTGCACCAATTTGTGAATGCTGTTGTAAAGGTTTCTAGTACCACTCTCTGAAACTACTTACTAAGATAAAATTTTTTTCACTATGTATATCGTTATAATGAGGAAGAAGACAGATAGATTGTCCAATATCATCCTAAAACATTAATAATCTGGCACACATATATAAATTTTATATGTTATATCAAAACACTATGCTAAATATATGACAAAATATGTCACTAAAAGTAAGCTATCTGATATTTTTCAAGTTAATAAACAAGATTCCTATCAAAAACATATTGTCGCAAGACATCTTGGTTCAATGGAACAAATGATACTTCTTCTAGGAAAACATATAAGCAGTAGTAGTATTAGCATTCTTTATTTGCCTATAAATCTGTCTGAAGCAAGATTATATGCAGTTTTATCTGCTTCTATGATTAAAAATAATAAAAACAATCTATATTGGACAGATATGTCTAAAAATACTTTGCTTGGCCAATTAATACTGAATTTAATCAAATAATCTATCCAGAGTATTGATGACATTATAATGTTATACAAACAAAAAAAATATTTAACCAAACAGTTTAAATATATTTACAGACCAAAAACAATCATATAGTTACAAAACATACCCATTCAATCTTAATTCGAACTATGTATCTAGCAATAAAATACGGAGAAGAATTTTTATATCAACAACTACCTACTACTCACTCATAAAATGAAATAAAAAGAAATTACTCAACTTATAGCTAACACTTTATTATACACTTTGCTGATCAATACCAACTAATTCAACAAATTGAGAACTACCAACACTCAACCTGCCCTTTACAATTAATAAATGCATATGAAGAAATGATTGCAAGTTTGATTTGCTCAATTCTCCAAAATGACACTACAAACCTATGTAATATTCAACTTCTAAATTTACAGAAATTTCCTATTGATATTTCAAAAACTGCCTCACTAACCTTACCTCATGACTAATATACAGTACTAAACAAATTAAATTCGACACTAGGTCCACAAAGTGCATACAAATAACCTTATTTTTTCATTACTGGTCTAGCAGGATCAGAAAAATCCTACATTATAAACTTATTCATTAACAAACTTATACAAAAAATATTAAATACCTATTACTCACGCCAACTGGCATAGCTGCAAATAATATTGGTAGTAAAACAATTCACTCTGCTCTTAATATCACAAATTCTAATACATTAAAAACAACAATCTTCTGAACTAACAAAAAATTAAAAGAACTACTACAAATTTAAACAATAATTATAGATAAAATATCAATGGTTTCTAGTATACTATTTACTTTTATATCAAATATCTTTGCCATATACATAAAAGCACTTTAGCATTTGATGGCATTAATGTTATAGTTTTAGGTGACTTGGCCAGCTACTACCAATTAATGAAATGCCTGTGTTTCAATCACCCATATGGAAACTTTTTCACCCCTTATTTTTAACTACACCTTATCAACAAAACCAAGATTCCAATTTTTTACATTCTTCAAGAAATTCGTATTAGAAAAATCTCAAACAACTCACAAAAAATTTTACAAAAAAAAACTCTTAACAACTTGTACAAATTATAATATTAACACAACAAACATAGTTGGCCATTGCCGACTTGCTGATAATATTAATAAAATTGTTTGTAACCTTCTTCCAACTACAAATGTTGAAATAGATTCACTAGCAATTGACACAATTAATGCAACCCAATTACCCACTGATCAAACAGAAGACCTATTCAAGCATAAAACAAACTTACCAACATATCTCCATGTAAAAATAGGCTCAAGAGTAATGTTCCTAAATAACACTATATTTTTAACCGGAATTTGCAATAAAACAATTGGCATCATATGAGAAATCCATAATGATAATATTACCATTGTATTTCCAATATCTAATAGAATAGTTGATACAATAATAAATAAAACAACATCCTACTTCAATCTAAATTGCACACACGCATCTAGAACACAATACTCACTTCAAAGTGTCTTCACACTTACAGTTCACAAATCACAAGGCTTGACCTTACCTCATGCAACAATCTGGTTAGATGAACAAATTTTTTCTTATGGCCAAGCATATGTAGCAATAAGTTGCACAAAATCATTATCAGCATTAAATATTTGTGCACTTAACAAATCTGTAATACGTACAGATCCCTTAGTACTAGAAGAATATGAATGATTATGGAACAAATCGCAACAACTAGGTTTTTAAATTTTATAATACAAAATTATTCTTAAAGCAAATAATTTACAACAACTTCCAATTATTCTATCTATCATATTACGCTACATAAAAAATACATAACATCATACTAAACTAAACCTCAAACAGCAAAACTTAAGCTAATATCAAATCTATCTTCTTAAAACACATCCCCTTATTACTACTAAACCAACTCTAAACAAAATTTATAAAAACAACAATAATACCTATAGTCAAATAACTTAAAGTACACCAAATATATTTACTATAACCCATATCATAAATCTAAAATAACATTAAAACTTACAACCACAAATATATAAAATAACAAATAATTTAACAAAAACAAAACTTATTCAAATTCACCAATAACTAATTTCATAAAATATTATTACAAATATAAATCTAAAATAACATAATTACTGTCTATTAAATCCTAAAACCAATAAAATACAAATTTGCTTAAGTTTTGCTGTTGTAAAGGTTTCTAGTACCACTCTCTGAAACTACTTACTAAGATAAAATTTTTTTCACTATGTATATCGTTATAATGAGGAAGAAGACAGATAGATTGTCCAATATCATCCTAAAACATTAATAATCTGGCACACATATATAAATTTTATATGTTATATCAAAACACTATGCTAAATATATGACAAAATATGTCACTAAAAGTAAGCTATCTGATATTTTTCAAGTTAATAAACAAGATTCCTATCAAAAACATATTGTCGCAAGACATCTTGGTTCAATGGAACAAATGATACTTCTTCTAGGAAAACATATAAGCAGTAGTAGTATTAGCATTCTTTATTTGCCTATAAATCTGTCTGAAGCAAGATTATATGCAGTTTTATCTGCTTCTATGATTAAAAATAATAAAAACAATCTATATTGGACAGATATGTCTAAAAATACTTTGCTTGGCCAATTAATACTGAATTTAATCAAATAATCTATCCAGAGTATTGATGACATTATAATGTTATACAAACAAAAAAAATATTTAACCAAACAGTTTAAATATATTTACAGACCAAAAACAATCATATAGTTACAAAACATACCCATTCAATCTTAATTCGAACTATGTATCTAGCAATAAAATACGGAGAAGAATTTTTATATCAACAACTACCTACTACTCACTCATAAAATGAAATAAAAAGAAATTACTCAACTTATAGCTAACACTTTATTATACACTTTGCTGATCAATACCAACTAATTCAACAAATTGAGAACTACCAACACTCAACCTGCCCTTTACAATTAATAAATGCATATGAAGAAATGATTGCAAGTTTGATTTGCTCAATTCTCCAAAATGACACTACAAACCTATGTAATATTCAACTTCTAAATTTACAGAAATTTCCTATTGATATTTCAAAAACTGCCTCACTAACCTTACCTCATGACTAATATACAGTACTAAACAAATTAAATTCGACACTAGGTCCACAAAGTGCATACAAATAACCTTATTTTTTCATTACTGGTCTAGCAGGATCAGAAAAATCCTACATTATAAACTTATTCATTAACAAACTTATACAAAAAATATTAAATACCTATTACTCACGCCAACTGGCATAGCTGCAAATAATATTGGTAGTAAAACAATTCACTCTGCTCTTAATATCACAAATTCTAATACATTAAAAACAACAATCTTCTGAACTAACAAAAAATTAAAAGAACTACTACAAATTTAAACAATAATTATAGATAAAATATCAATGGTTTCTAGTATACTATTTACTTTTATATCAAATATCTTTGCCATATACATAAAAGCACTTTAGCATTTGATGGCATTAATGTTATAGTTTTAGGTGACTTGGCCAGCTACTACCAATTAATGAAATGCCTGTGTTTCAATCACCCATATGGAAACTTTTTCACCCCTTATTTTTAACTACACCTTATCAACAAAACCAAGATTCCAATTTTTTACATTCTTCAAGAAATTCGTATTAGAAAAATCTCAAACAACTCACAAAAAATTTTACAAAAAAAAACTCTTAACAACTTGTACAAATTATAATATTAACACAACAAACATAGTTGGCCATTGCCGACTTGCTGATAATATTAATAAAATTGTTTGTAACCTTCTTCCAACTACAAATGTTGAAATAGATTCACTAGCAATTGACACAATTAATGCAACCCAATTACCCACTGATCAAACAGAAGACCTATTCAAGCATAAAACAAACTTACCAACATATCTCCATGTAAAAATAGGCTCAAGAGTAATGTTCCTAAATAACACTATATTTTTAACCGGAATTTGCAATAAAACAATTGGCATCATATGAGAAATCCATAATGATAATATTACCATTGTATTTCCAATATCTAATAGAATAGTTGATACAATAATAAATAAAACAACATCCTACTTCAATCTAAATTGCACACACGCATCTAGAACACAATACTCACTTCAAAGTGTCTTCACACTTACAGTTCACAAATCACAAGGCTTGACCTTACCTCATGCAACAATCTGGTTAGATGAACAAATTTTTTCTTATGGCCAAGCATATGTAGCAATAAGTTGCACAAAATCATTATCAGCATTAAATATTTGTGCACTTAACAAATCTGTAATACGTACAGATCCCTTAGTACTAGAAGAATATGAATGATTATGGAACAAATCGCAACAACTAGGTTTTTAAATTTTATAATACAAAATTATTCTTAAAGCAAATAATTTACAACAACTTCCAATTATTCTATCTATCATATTACGCTACATAAAAAATACATAACATCATACTAAACTAAACCTCAAACAGCAAAACTTAAGCTAATATCAAATCTATCTTCTTAAAACACATCCCCTTATTACTACTAAACCAACTCTAAACAAAATTTATAAAAACAACAATAATACCTATAGTCAAATAACTTAAAGTACACCAAATATATTTACTATAACCCATATCATAAATCTAAAATAACATTAAAACTTACAACCACAAATATATAAAATAACAAATAATTTAACAAAAACAAAACTTATTCAAATTCACCAATAACTAATTTCATAAAATATTATTACAAATATAAATCTAAAATAACATAATTACTGTCTATTAAATCCTAAAACCAATAAAATACAAATTTGCTTAAATTTCATCAAAACTAAACACCAACAATAAAACATAAAACAATATATCAAAACATTAACTAAACAAAATAATTTTTAACATTACACGAAATCATCCATCAACCTATCGCCCACTTCAAATCAAAAAAATTCAAAAAATTATTATCAAAACATTAACCATCTTAAAAACTCTTTATACAACATAATCAACCAGTACTAATAAAAAAATCTAACCATACATAATTAACAACAAAATCATAAAACCGCTACACAACCCACTCCCACCAATATACTCCCTTCTACAATACATATTTAACTTTTCTTAACCAATTCACATTACATCTAAATATATAAAATATAACAAACCATTCACTCCCTGCAACTTAACCGCAGCTCTAGTTACTAAATATAAAATTTCTTTGATAAAAGTATAAAAACAAATTTTAATTAAAAGCATTATTATATATAGTTTGAAAAATCTATAGCCAAGTGAGATGATCGAGAATCATATGCTATATAACAGTATAATTTATTATAAATATTAGTAATTAAAAATATAATTTATTTATCTTAAAATTTTGTACTCTTTTAAAATACCTTTATAAATTTCTTTAAAAAAATAAAATAAATATTAGTAATTAAAAATATTATTTATTTATCTTATAAATTTTGTAACTTTTAAAATACCTTCATAAATTTCTTTAAAAAAATAAAATTAATTAGCTTTTTAAAACAAACTTGATTAAATTAATATTTTAATTTACAATACCTGATAAATCATTCTCAGATAATGTACTATTATCAGATAATGTTCTAATAGAGCTAGCAAAATAAAGATAGTCATCGTGACATATGTTTAATAAATAAAATGCAAAAGCCAGTAAATATCTATATCCTTCACGTGATATCCAATTATCAAAATGAAATAGCGAGGCTAGATTAAATAGTTTATTTAGTGTATTAATATCAGGCCGTTTATTAGGATCTGGATCCCAACATCTTTGCATTATTAGTGCATAAAAGATTGGAATATCAGATACAATATCTGGCCTAGACCCCATTACGATATGCGTTGCTAATTCATCCTTTTCTCTATCGAAAAATGGTGGTTTTTCTGAATAAATCTCCCACATTATCATTCCAAAACTATAAACATCTGTTTTAGTAGTATATTTTCCTCCATTCAATAATTCTGGTGCTATATAGAGCAAAACTCCTTTAATGTTTAACTCAGAAGAGTTAATGGGGACGCTAAGTCCAAAATCTCCTATCACCCAAGTGCATTTATCATACAAGATATTACCAGAATGCAAGTCCCTGTGAATTAAATTATTGTTGTGTATTGTATTAAGTGCTTCTGAAATCCGAGCTAACATCTCATAACGATGTTTCCAAGTAAGAGTTGAATGATTTTTTCCTAGATATTCACGTAAATCATAAGTTTTACGTTCCAAGACCAGCAGAAATTTGTCAGAAGCAGGATCCTTTGATATCCCATAGCATTTTAAAATATTAGAATAAATTGCTGAAAATGATAAATATGCTTCAATCTAATAAATGATAAATAAATAAGCAGAAATTAAAAATAAATCAAAATTGTATCATAAATAGTTAACCTCATCAAAATTATCCAGCTCAATCTCTTTAAGGATTACATCTTCTGGGCCAGTTCTCGAAAATCCACATCCAAGAGACATAGTATAAGGACCCATAGACCAAATTGCGGTATGTAGTTGTGCATTCCCACCTTTTTTGAATTTTTGAACTTCTTTAAGTTGATTATATGGAATCCATTCAACTATTTTAATAGGGTAAGATGTTTTATTAATAGGGTAAATTAGTGAATTTTCTTGGCAATGTCGAATTATTTTGTTAATTTCATTTTTCCCGGAATCCCATTTGTTATTTTCTAAAAGTTGCCGCACGTACTGCGTACAATATTTACAGTGTTTGTGGATGCTCGAAAGTTTAAACACAGATAGCATCTATTTTCTATATCTCTATCATTGTAAATGTTATAGCATAAGACGATAATACAAATAAAAAAGTAACAGTGCAAAAACATGGTAAAATAAAGGAATATATTGCCGAAGAGGTAAAAATAAAAAATATAGCACAAAATAAAATATGCCATGGTCGTAGAAAAGAAACGTAGTTGCAAGGTCAAAGGAGGAGGAATTACGAAGATTAATATTAAATGCCAAATTCGACAAATGAACAAAAATTTATGTTCATCGAAAAATAAACCTTTTATGATAATATCAGCTATTATTGCAGGTCTTAAAAAATTATGAATAAAGTATATATATTAAAATGCCATGAAAAAACTTTAAAAAAAACGGAAGTTAGATTTGATCTTTTGGAATGTATCTTATTTATCACAGTTTTAACAATATAACAAGATCTCAATCGGAGCTCCTCTGTGAAATATTCATCAGTCGGATATTGATGCATAACGATTTCACAATCATTTGGATTATTACTAATTGCTTTTATAATATAATAAAATTTCCATCGGTATTTCTCAGGGAAAAGTTCATTTTCAATTGTACATTTGCGTATATAGTCTTCAAGTTCATTTTGATCAATGCAGAATGTGGATGTGAGTATTATGTTGATAAGTGGGTGGTTCATCGTAGAACTAACTGGCTCATCCATTATTTTAAATTATAGCTATTGATAAGATCGTATTTACGGTTTGAGAAAATAACTGTAAAAGTTAAAGAAAAGTTTCTATAATTATTGCAATATATAATCTGTAATTTATTTTGTACATCATTGCTGCATCAAATATGTACTTTATGGTTCCATCGTATTGTTGAAAAAAAGTTTTTTACACCTGATCTTCATGTTACATGAATCTCGTAGGCCAAAACGTAAATTCCTGTGTGTAAGATCAATAGACCTATCTTCCCCAGTACAACCGACAAAAAAACCTCGAGCACGTAAGTGGCTGTGAATAGGATGGGCAATGTAATAATCATGTAATTAATAGCTAAAATTTAGCCCTTACATATTAGTTAAAATTAGTTTACTTAATAATATAAATTTAAATATAAAAAAAATTTTGCCATTAAGTTTATATATAATTTTAAAATTGTGCCCTCTACCCTTAAATCGATTATTAACACCACCGGCGATAATAATTGCTTGAAATTATCGATTATAATCGATTAGCTACTTGCAACCGATTATCAACATTTCCTGATGTAATAAAGCTAAATTTCACTATAAACTATACTTTTATCCGATACGCTAATATTATAAAAAGTAAATTTTAATATAAAAAATTTTGGTATATTAATTAATTATTAGAGACACCAAATGCATGGGTGCACCGTTTATAATTTCCCTTACATTGATTATGAAAAGTTAATAGATAATTTTTATTCATCACATATACCTTTTTTTATATGAATTTAGCCGCAACTGCTTTAATCTTTTATATTTTATCAATTCATTAAGTAAGACATATTCTTTTATGTTATTATATTTATTAAACTGCCAAGTACTTGTTCATTTATCTAGGATGTCCAAGGAAACCCTCGACGAGATCTTAAAAATAATAAAGTATTTGAATATAGTTATTCGTGAAAATCTTAGATTATATCCTCCAGTTTTAGTACAATTTTAAATTTAATTAATATCTTAATAAGTAACTATATCAATTATAATTTATTTTTACTGTTCTGTTTACTGTTTAATGCGTGTAGGTCCTAATTTTGTCATTAAGTGTATTAGCAGAAAATTTAAGATATAAAAAACCTTTTGATTTCAGCCGGTACACCCTTATTTAACTATGTTTGTCTTGACTTTTTACTTTGGAAATAATTATAAATTTATTTACATATTTATTTATTTTTTAAGAAAATAGGTGTTTAAGAAATATCTTTTCTCTTATTGAACAGAAAATAGTATTATGTTCGTTATTATTTTTACGTGAATACTTACATATATTTTAGTGCGTAAATGAAATATCATTCCTCAAAATAACATACATAATGATGATTAAAAGTCTGTAGATGAATGTTTACATATTCAATCGAGCTTAATTGAACTTTCAATGTTAAATTCTGTTTAATATTTTCGTCTGATTAATACTTATTATTTAAAGATTTTTTTTTTATAACTTATGTTGGTCGAAAAAATCTACCTGAATGATTTTTTATAACATATGCTGGTTGAAAAAATCTATTAAAATTTTGCCATTTTTATTTATAACTAGAAATAAATATTTACCGCAAATTATTTCAATTTTTCAGAACTATAATAATAACTTCTCATATAAACTACATAATGAATAAAGAACCATCACAATGTACATCCCGCATATCCTTAACGACCATTCTCCGAATATAAGAAATGTTTATTTCTTTCAAGTAACTTATTAATTCCACTAATAATTTTGCTATCGATACTATTAAAAGAAAGGTTTAAAGATGTTAGAGTAGTATTTGTAAAAAGAGCCTCTGCTAATATTTTACCACCTTCAGAATTAATACAATTAGCTGAAAGATTTAAAGAGACCAAAATAGCGTTCTTATAAAAAACTTTTGCTAATGATTTTACCGATTCAATATTGATATTATTATATCCAAGATTTAGGGTGGTTAAAGTGTCATTCTCACAGAGAGCATCAGCCAATGCATTTACACCTTCAAAGCCGAGCTTATTACCATAAAGATTTAAATCAGTTAGAGTGGTATTCTTACAAAGAATTTCAGCAAATACCTTTCCCTTTTCAGCACCAAGTCGAGTACCATGAAATGTTAAAGAAGTCAAAGTAGTGTTTTTACAAAAAGCATCTACTAATGATTTTTCACTTTCAGAATAAAGTTTGCTAGAAGCAATACATAAATGAGTTAAAGTTCTATTCGTATAAAGAGCCTCTGCTAACATATTACAACTTTTTGAGCCAAGATCACATTTAAAAATACTTAAATGAGATAAAGTAGAACTTTTAATCAATAAATCCATTACTTTGTCCTCAATAAAGTCATCAATTATTACTTTTTGAAGATTAAGAGTTGTTCTTGAAAGCATTGTAATCAAAGAATATTTAATTGCCTGAGTCACATCATTCTTGTTGGAAGAAGTCAAACTACGCTTGATAGAAGAAGTCAAACCACGAGATTCACATCCTTCATCATTAAACCAATCTACAATTCCTCTGCATAAAGAAACATTGATACTTGTAATATAAGAAGTATAATCAAATAATAATTTTGGACCATTTGGAAGTTTTACTTTAAATGGTATTAATGGTGCTTGTTCTTCAGCGTTTAAAGCTAAAAGAAATGTTCTTATCAATTTTTTATTTTCTAAAGTAACTACTTTGCTCCATAATATTGGGACAACATTTCTACACCAATGACGGTTTACAAAAAGACATGGAAATAAGTTATTTTTATTAAGTTTAACAAATATTTCAGCAAGGCATTCGTTTGGTAAAGCAATCATGTTGAAGTTGAAGACGTTAAGTGGATCGGCAACATCGTGATACGTATACGTATGCTGAAATTGCAGATCATTACCAATTGAGCTAAACAAACACAATACGGAGATGTCAATAGGCCACTACGCAGCTACTTGTGAGAGGCTGCGCAGTGTAATACCAGTACAATCATATGAAATATGTGAGGGGATGGTTCCTTTCAACCTTTTGGTTAGCTATATTTTTTCCTACTTTAGAAGGTATTATGGTTATCACTTTTTTCCATTTATGACTTTATTTGTGTGGTTTCAGAAGATATGCATTTTACGTACGTAATGTGTATTGTGGTTACTGCATAAGTTATTATGTAAACTTTTATTTCTTTGGTTTGTTCGATAATAGGGGCTATAAAGAAAAAAATAAAAAAATAGCAATCGTTTAATATAGATGTGAGACAACTTCTCTCTCTGCGTGTAAATGTTGTAATTGATCATCATACTTTATTGAGTTAGTATGATTTATCAATACAAAAAAAAATTTATTTATGATGTCATTATTTCACAAATTAACACTCAAGAGGAAAAACCTGTACGTAAAAATTTATCCCCTGAAGTATCGGTATTGCGTAATTAATCGATACTTAGGTCGTAGGTAGAAGTTGATTCGGAATTTTTAAGGTAAGGTTGGGCTTTTTAGTATAATTATTCTATTCTAATCTAAGTGGATTCCGAACTCTACTATGATTCCATTTCCACTTACAACATTAATAGGCTGATTAAATAAAATGCTATAGCTTATTTTAAAGTTATGACTAAACCATCTTACGTCATATGGTCGTACTGGTCCCGCGCCGCATCACATGTTGTGCAGCTATCCAAATTTTTATAATTCAGATAATTCCGGTTTCTGAAATAGAGTACCAGTTCACCATATCGTTGTATCCGAATTTAAAGAGTACCTCACAGTTAATTTGAGTACCATAAAGGCACAAGCCCGGATAATAATTTCAGTGCCGATTAGGGTACTTACGGTAATTTAACGGCTATAATATAATAAGGTAATAATAATAAATGACTTTTCTTTCCATTTCCCGTTATGATGTGACCAATCAATTCGTGTGACGAATAACCATTAAATAATTAATTTATATAAATTAATTAATGAGTGCTTATTTGTCACACAAATTGATTGGTCACATCCTAGTGGCAAATGGAAAAGCGAAACATTTGGTGATGCAAGTAAACTAAGCCGTTCAAATAATCAAATAAATTCTCTTTACCATTGACTATTAAAACAGTTTGAGATTATACTACCAAGCATATTTCCGGTGTTTTTATGCAGCATTTTATAATAATTTGTTTTCTCTATTAGGGGGTTTCAAAATTAAAATCAGCGAATCTTATTTTGTTTTTCCAATTTATAATTCAACATAGTATGCTATTGAAAAAAACCCTACTTATTTTCGAAATAATCACTTATTTGTTAATTTTTTCTTCACTAAATTCAATAACAAGCATAATCAATTGTGGGTTTTATTTTTTATTTGCATTATAATGAATAAATCTTAAAATTTATTTAATTATAATTTTATTTAAAATAATCATGCAAACTCTTTATATAGCCTAAATAAACATGTAATACGATATGTATATATTACATAGAGAATTTCTATCTGTACACGGGCTGTATGTACACTGGCAATATGGATATCTCAAAATTTTGATTATGAAACCACCTTAGTCTTCTAACAAAAAACATTCCTTGTGAAATTTTGGTATAAGCTACATCTTGTCCAATTCCAAACCCACCCCTACCCTAACCATAAGCGAGGGTTTAATTTTTCGTTTGCAAAAATTATTTTGATTAGCAAGTTACACGAATTTGTAATTAAATAAATTATACCCGTGTATAAACGCTACATGTAAACTAATAAATTTTCTATTACATATTAAGTTTTTATTTCATTTTTGCAATATTTGATCTTTTTAGTTCTAATTCAGCTTCAAATTCCTCTAAAGCAATTTCTTTTTTTCAAATTGTTAATTTTTTTTTCTACTTTATCTAAATCTATATTTGTTAATTTAGTTTTATGACTAATACAATTTAAGATTTATTTAGTAAAATTTTTTCTATTTATTTGCTAAAATATATTATATTAATATTTAAATTAATTACATATTGTTTATTTGTATAGAATATATTGTTTTTGTTACTATGCCTTGATCATAACTAGTATATAATAATTCTGAAATATTATATATTTTCTTGAATAAAAACTTTTGTTTATTTTCTAAAAAACCTTTAATATAAATAAAATAATATAGTTTTAATAAATTAATAAATTAATAAAGTTTAATAAATAATTAATTAATTACTTTTGAATTCTATGTAAAGATATAAATTTGTTCTATATTAATTTACTCTTGTATGATTACTTTCAGATATATTAATAATATATAAAACAGAATAGTGCTCCGTCACGAGTAGGTATCACCTGGTTCACCCGTTGGTGGGCGGGTGACCTGGGTTGAGTTATGGCCACCCGAATGGCCAACCCACAAGTCACCAGCTGGAAGAATTTCTGACTGTTGCCTGTTCATTGGTTTTTTTTCTCAAATCACTGTGTGCATTATAACATACAAGAAGAGAGTAGAGTTACAGTATACCCGGATAACCCAGGTTAGATATTTACAAATTTATTTTAGAATGTGAATATAGTGTGCATTTCAGCTGTCAACTAATAAAAATTGGCCGATGATTATTCGGCCGGATTTGATAAGTTTTAAATTTGATGTTATCACATAACTGTAATGCTGAAAATTCAATGCCAATAATACCGAATTCAAAAACTTATTGAATTCGGCCGAATAATAATCGGTCAATTATTATCATTTGTTCCAGAACAGTGTAAACATCGAAGTGCTTTGCAGAATGAAGCCATTACAATAAAGCTGTAGTTTGAGCTACTGCTCAGAGTTGACGCATATTAAATTTTTAGAATCATGTTCCAGTCGTGACTTGAATTCACATCCACATCACAATACAGCTTGAGCCGGAACATCAAGCAGATAGCAATTTTAATTCAGCTACCCAAGCTCATGAAGATTTATTACATATTTTTATTTAGTAGTACAGAGTATAGTATTCAATTGAGATATCACGCTCATGAATATTCACATACCACTTGGTTCATTCTATTCGCATTAATTTAGTGAATGAATATAAAGAATTTATTAATCCAAGTATTTATATTTATGAATACGTGCTATTTAATTTTATCAATCGCGTTAATTTAGCAAATTAATCTAAGTATCTAAATACTCAACCCATGAATGTTTACAATTATTCGTTATAATTAGCTGTTGAGTACAAAAATTATATTTAAGCGTCGCATAAATAAAAATCCAATTTAACTAATGATTACGTGATATAAATCTCTTTGCAGAATTTCTTTTACCCCGAATGACACAGGTGACACACCCGCGGGTGACCCATTGTGGGATTTCTTTTACCACCTGGGTGCCCCGGGTGACCCACCCGCGGATGACCCGGGTTGGGATTTTTGTGACGAGTCGGAACACTAGGCCGAATAATCATCGGCCAATTTTTATCAGTTGACAGCTGAAATGCACAATCTAAAATAAATTTGTAAATATCTAATCTGGGTTACCCGGGTATAACTCTACTCTCTTCTTGTATGTTATAATGCCCGCAGCGATTTGAGAAAAGAAAACCAATGAACGGGACAACAGTCGGAAATTCTTTCGCGGGTGACCTACCCGGGTCAGAACACTAACCCAGCATGGATTTGGTATTATCTATAGTTGTGACCGAAACCCGAAGCCTTTCCGAAACCTTCAAATTAGAATGTTAAAAATTAATACTCATTTGCTATAAAGTAACTAAAAAACTCTTGGAATGTAATCTAATTATCATATACTTTAAGTTTTAAAGTTTTAATCTAAATTTCTAAGCCTTTCAGTATAGTATTCGAGTTTCGGAAAAGGTTTTGGAATTTATATATAGTTTTGGGTTTCGGGTTTCGGGCCACGACTATAGTGTTATCAAACCCGGGTTATAGAAACATCCATCTGATCGTTTTCCAATATCTCTTACTGGTTTGTCAATGACTTTGCCAATAGTATTATTTCCTTGATATTTATTATATGTAATTATTTTTTTAACTCGCGTCAACTCAGTCAATAACGATAATTTATTTCTTATTTGACTTATTACATTTCACGTTGACCTAATAGATAGGTAGTAATTAGAGTATTGGGACTTTAAAATTGAAAGAATCTATTTTAGTAAAATAGGTAACATGTTTTATTTTTAAATTAAGTCCTAATACACTTATTTATATAATAAGTTTAATTATTAATTATGGCTTAAACTATACATAGTAGCAAATATATGCATAGATGAATTTAAAATTTATTACATGAAATGAGCGTCTCAGACACTCCTATTTTGATTTACTTACTTGACCATTCATAATTATAATTTCCGAAATCGTTAATTTTAATTTTACTGCATTTCTTTATGACATGCACCATTTCTGAAACCTTTAAATATAAGTATTAATCTCTTCATATTTTATTAATTCTTACTTGTTTTGATTTAGTTTGAGTATAAAGATCATCTGTATTACCATATTTCTTATTTAATTTATGAATATCATTTATTTCATTTATCTACGTGTATTTAGTCCAATAATTTATAATTCCAAGCACTAGTCTAATTTATTATACACGTTTGTTTAGTCTAATTTATTATACGCGTTTGTTTAGTCTAATATAACGATCTTTTATACTTAAAATAATATCTTGATTTTTGCTGATTGATTCAAATTTAATCTGGGTAACCCGGGTGACTCTTACATGGGTACAATCCCTAGTTATATCATGTATGTATATAAGATTGAACCTTATTTTGACTTTTTGGGCTGGGTTGAAAACGGCGGCAATCATAATAAAGCAACAAACTTTCGCCACGGCCAATTTTTGTAACAAAAGCACGTCACTTTTGCGTTTGTGTAATGCAACTATATATAAGTGGTTAGAATTAACGACTCCGAATTATTCAAAACAAAAACATCGACTAGGTTTTTTGCAGTATAAGCGACCCGGTTTTATAAAAATTGATTAATAATAAGTATTATTAAACATGTCGCCTATACTTATAGATGTGTGCCTAAATTATTTTTGGCTTGCCGAAAATATTTTAGGCAGCCTAAACCGTAAATAATTTCGGCTGCCTAAAATAATTTCGGTTGCCTAAAATATTTTAATATTTAGGGCATGTCGAAAATAATTCGGCTGCCTAAAATGATTTCGGCTGCCGAAAATATTTTAATATTTAGGGCTTGTCGAAAATAAAAATTGCTGCCAAA